TTCTCCATGACAGTCAAATTGATAGAAGGGGGAAAAGAAGATGCACAAAGACGATTAACCCTTGGCCTAGGGGGGTGTTAGCTGATGGTGCTTCTGTGATCGATTGATTTTCTCTCACCATTATAACCTCCTTCGTCTTTGTCTACTCCTTCCGGGTCTTCCCCTTCTTCCGCTGTCTCTTCTTCGTCTGTGATCAGCATGGATGACATGTTCAAGTGCCCTAGTTATCTTCCAAGCCCTCACGTCGGTAGATAAATCCCTCTCTCACGATGGGAAACCTATTCATTCTGTTGCAGTCGGCAATCATTGCAAGGCGGTCTTGCTCCTAGTTAGTTTGGCGGGTTGGCGAGGACATATGCTCTGCTTTCCGTGTCACATCGAGTGCCGTGGGGTTTAAGTTGACATGTCCTTTTTCTCCGTCACAGAAGCAACAGGTAAGAACAGCAGGTGGGAGGGGGGGCAGGGGGAGAAAGAACACGCGGGTTTTGCAGCAGCCTGTCAAGTGGACAGCCCTTGGTGGGCTGGGTCTCGATCCTTCAACAACATTCACACGGAAGCGGCTGATTCGTCATCTCAGTTTGACGCGGCTATCGGCTATCGCTCGTTCGTAATTTGTAGGTAGAAGGGAGTAGGTGGTGGCGACCAAGGCGCACCGACAAGAGGCTCTTTGCGCGCATATTTGCAACGCCGCACATACACACACACACACACACACACACACACGCACAGAGAGAGAGAGAGAGAGAGAGAGAGAGAGAGAGAGAGAGAGAGAGAGAGAGAGAGAGAGTCACTAAACTTCGCTGGCACAGTTTTTGCGATCTTGAAGATGACATCCGCCTCCAGGCGGAAGTGAGAAGCGCTCGGCAGAAGAGAGAGAGAGAGAGAGAGAGAGAGAGAGAGAGAGAGAGAGAGAGAGAGAGGTATATGATTATTCCTTGGCTAGAGTGGGCCACCACACGTGTTGTGATCTTCAAGATGACATTCACCTCCAGGCGGAAGCGACGACCGTTGGGCAGGAATGTGGTGTAGCGTGAAATCCCACGTGGAAGTACGGCAACTGGATGAAGAGTGGCAATTAACCTGTGAGCTACGATTGTGGGCTTACCTCATCAGCCTTTCTTGTGATCCCTTCAACAAGTCGGAGCTGGCATTTCTGTGACATTCATCTTCTCTCAGGGATTGCGACACCGATTCTTCATTACTCATTTACATGGAACCGTTACCGCGTCGGTTGATGAACACGGGGCTTTTCAGTACGTAGATTGTGGCGAGAGCGAGAGCATAGTAAGTATTCGGGATCACAGAAGGGAAAACAGGAGGAGGGCGGTGAAAAAAAGCTTAAAGCGACTAAAAATCCTTGACCATCGCTGCAGCGGAACGTATAGAAAGGACGAACAGAGAGAGTATGACATGATTGATTCGATCCATCGGATCCATTTAATAATTGGTTTTCCAGTGAAGATTACGGTATGCTGGATTGCTAGCCTACTTGTGCGAAAGTCGAGGCAAGTGGAGAGCGAAGGAGGGAGAAGAGGTGGACTGGGTGGTGGGTGTCTTGGTTTGCGACCGTCCTCATTTCGACCGAGGACGGAGGCGTCGGAGAATTGAAGTGCGTGTACATATGACGATATATATATATATAATTTTGTGACGAAACTCCGACGAAACAGTTTGTCACAGCCCCTCGTTTGTTGTCCTCTTCTCTCTCTCTGCCTACGGTTTTACCGGGCAGTTCTGTTTGTGACGATATATACAAT